TCTCTCTCTCTCTCTCTCTCTCTCTCTCTCTCTCTCTCTCTCTCTCTCTCTCTCTCTCTCTCTCTCTGTGTGTGTGTGTGTGTGTGTGTGGGTGTCTGTGTGTGTGCGTGTGTGTGTGTGTAATGACCTGACCAAGCACGGACTGAGACACACAGCTGATTTCTGAGTTTTGCTCATAGAATGAATGCCTTGCTGAGTTTCCCGCTTGTTACCCAGTTCTCTAAGTCTGTGTGTGTGCACGCTTGCTGGTCTGCATGACTGTCTGAGTGCTTGTAGGCTTGAGTGTGTTTGTGACCCGCAAGGGCACTTATTTCAGTGGGCCCGAAGGGCCGGTACTTTCCTGTGGCCGTGGCATTGAGGATTGCATCGGGGGAAAACACTCAAGTGGCGGGGAAAGAGGCCCGCAACACTTGAAGCAGCGAAAAACACTCGAGTAGCATGTAGGCCAGCACCACACCAGGTAGAGGTAGATGTGCCGGGTACTCGAGGCCGAGCAGAAGAAGACAAAAGTTGGCATTTTTAGAGGCCCAGTAGTTGTAGCTAGGTCTAGGCGGGTACTAGTCCAACCAGTCTGAGTCTAGGGCCTGTACGGGCAATATCAGAGTCCGCAATGATGTTTCCCTCCGAAAGGGAGGAGGTACCGATTGCGTGGAGGCTGCACGGCCTAGGAAGTCACTCGCCAAGAGGCAAGCAGGCCGCTATATCTCCAGGAGGAGCCAGTTGCTCCTCCTCGTTGTCGGCGTGCAAGTTTGGCGACACACTGGTTGGAGCGCTGGCTGGAGCAGCACTAGCATCAGCTCCGCTGCTGGGGAAGGAGCAAGGACGCTGAGGAGGAAAAAGACCAGGACTAGGAAGAGGAGCGCCAGAGGTACTTACCTGGCTATGGTGGGTTGCCATCTTCATCACCTTGGTGGGCGCTGCAGCAGGAAGGCCTCATTGGGGCAGAGCTACACCAAGAAGCTTCGAGGCAGAGTCAGGCATGGCGGCCTGAGCTAGAGCAGCCATAGCTGCTTTGTGTTGTCCTTTGGACAGCAGGGCGATACCCTGGTAGTCCGCCATGGCTTCGCCCTATGAGAGAGAAGAGAGAGGGGTGGTCATGGCTATGGTGGACCTCCAGTGATACCTGCAGTAGAAGAGGGAATCGGACATTGATTCTAGATCAGCCATTCAACATTGATATTATTATTCTTGTTTGAATAAGAGGGAGAAGATGAGGAGGAGAAGAGCATTATCATTGGTGTATGCTGGTGTACATCATCTTCTTCTTCTTTCTTTCTTTCTTCTTCTTCTTCCTCTTCTTACCCTCTCTCTCCTCTCAACTTCATTCATTTCTTTTTGCAATTGGACGGCATTGAACTTTCTGATGAATGTGTACTTCGAAATTGGCCAGGATCGTGACATCTCTCTCTCTCTCTCTCTCTCTCTCTCTCTCTCTCTCTCTCTCTCTCTCTCTCTCTCTCTCAGACACACACACACACACGCGCGCGGACACATATTTCACCCCTTTCCCTCCTATTTACTAACACAATTACAGACCTGCCTCCCTTGTCCTCCCACGGCTCACCTATTTATGCTCTTCCTCTTCTATCTATGCTCTGCCACCTCCACTTCACTGCAGCCGTTGTCCTTTTTCCTGCTTCACTTCCATGTCAGTTCTGTCTCTCTTCCCCTCGTTTATCCACACAATTCAAGACCTGCTTCACTTGTCCTCCCAAGCCTCACCTAACTATGCTCTTCCTATGCATGCTCTGCCACCTCCACTTCACTGCAGTCGTTGTCCTTTCCAGCTTCACACCCATATCAGTCCTGTCTCGCTTCGTCCTCTTGCGGGTAAGCCTCCTCTTCCTCATAGTCCTCGCCCCTGTTCTCATACTCGTTATTTGCTAGATGTTCCACATCATATTTTTCTTTGTTTTAGCCATTTACCCCCTGCTCCCAGTCTTCCTCATAGTTCTCCCCATGTAATTCCCCCCAGTCCTAGTCCTCCACCTTGTCTTGTACTCCTTGTCCATCTCATATTTTATATCCGCCTTCCCCTTCCGTGAGCCGCATGACCCTCTCAGCAGCCAGCGAAGGAGTAGGTCCTGAGGCCAGGCCCAAAGGAGTGCAGAACCTTGTCAGGCCCACACAGAGATCCAATAGACCCGGCACGGCAAACCGAAACTGGATGACTATGGAAGGCAGTGCCTACCAGCTGAATTGAACCCAATTCTGGTATATAAGGGCTGGGGCAGGCCAAACACATTCCGACACAGGATGCCTCCAGCCTGAGCCCTAGGTCAATGTCCCTCTGCAGGAGAGGGCAAGCACCTCGTTTCCAGCAAGTTTAAGCCATAGCCGCGCTGAGGCAGAAGACAAGCGCCATAGCTATAGGGCACTGAGGTGCAGGAGGAAGGCAGCGCTAGAAGGGGCAATCCATGGGGGAAGGGGAAGGCCGTAGGGAGGAGATGGCAAGGGACTTACCTGGCGATCGTTCCGAAGAGATCCAGCATGACATGCTCTTCGAGCAGGCAAATGTGGGAGCGGCAGGGAAATCCGCACCGTGGTGCAATTTAGACCAGGGAATGTGATAGGCTAGGTGGTCGTACCTGCCAGTAGGGAGTTCGACGAGGGCTGAGAGCAGTTAATGTTGTTGTTGACTTCAACACGGTCAGTTCTTGTGCGGGTGTGATCATTGCTTTCTCGTGTGTACTAGTCTGGAAACCAAATGCATGCTGGTCGAGTTCATCCTGTGCAGTTCCCTTGTACTCCCCATTTTCACTCCAGCTGCAATATTGTCCCTCCCCAGTTGAAATCCTTGTGTATCACCCCATCACTTTCCTTTGTCCTATCTTTTCCTCTCCCTCCTGCCATCCCTCTACGCCATCCTCCTCAAAACCCGAGACTGACGCATGCATGAAAAGCTGAAGGATGTCCAAGACCGATAAGTGCAAAGGAAATACTAAGGCAATAAGGAAGGCAACACAATGCTGTAGTGTTCAAGGTAGGTGAAGCATGAGATCATCATTCCAGGTCCAGAGATGGGCAGGCAAATAGCAGTCACGGACCTGCTGGACAGAGCTCTTTGCGATGTCACTGAGCCTTCGTGCCAAACCAAAATCGCATAGCTGCAGTAGAGACAGACAAATCCCAGAACCACGCTATATGTCAGTACACAGCACTTCCTTACTCCACAAAACGTTTCCAAGAGTCAAGGTGGAGAATAAACATTACTCTTCATGCTATGGACTCCTCACATAATCCACATGGCAAGTACATTTGCAAGGAACCATACAATGAGAACACCAATTTTCCAAATTAGAAAAAAAATGCCAGTAGGAGTTTCCAAAATGCAAAGGCTCATAGAAGAACGAGCATGATTGATCCAAGTTGGAACCAGAACTTTCCAAAATGCAAAAGCTCGTAGAAGAATCAGCTTGTAGCACACCAATTAGGACGAAAGAGAAACACTGATCCGTGGGGACTTATTTGTATTTGATGGCCCTCGGACTTCAGATCTATTTTGCTGAAGTACTTACATCCCTTCACTATGTCCAAGAGGCCATCGAAGCAGAGTAAGGGCCCTGCATTACGCAAAGTAATGGCATTGAGGCTCATATAGTCAATGATGCACATCCTCAAGGTGCCTCCCTTCTTGGGTACGGAACAGTGAGCCTGGATGAAGTACTCAGTCTAATCCATCCCTTCACAATCAGTTCCTTTAGTTGCTTGCGGAGCACATCTAATGGAAACATCCTATGGATCGTGCATTTGGGTATTTCTCTAGGCTACCAGAGTGGCCCGGGGTCACTTGCCCGGCCGGGCCAAAAAGACTTAAAAAATTTAAAAAAATGAAAAATATTTTAAATTTTTATTTTATATTTTAAATTTGGTAAAGAATTTTGATGTGACCCTGAGGCAAAACTTGTTCAGTTTATTTTTCTGCATAACATAGTTTTTTTTCGGATTTTTTGGACTTTTTTTGTTTTTAGCTGGGACCCTCCCTTGTCCTTGCACGGGCTGGCCACCCGGGACCCGGGCGGCCCGGCTGGTAGCCTAGGTATTTCTACTATTTCACTCCTCGGGAAAATCTCTACTGCGTGGACTATATCCTTCTCTTTTATTACAGTATGTTCCTCCTGCGGTTGTGGATACTTGGTGACAACCCGTGTAATAAATCTTTGAAGGGGTCTCTACAGCCCGCCACTTTGCAGACACAAATACTAGGAACATACTAGGGTTGCATCCCTGCCGACCGCCGACCGTATTGCAGCCGACCAGTAGGGCCGACCGGTCGGTGGTCTGCCGACCAGTCAGAAAACAACCATCCACTGATTTTTTTTCGAATCCGAGTTGGGGGCTGTACTGCGCTTGCTGAGTGCAGCCCAAATCTGCTGAGAAGCTTTTGGGGATGGGGGGGTTGGGGTTGGAGTATAGGGCAGGTATAGGGGGGTATAGGGGGGTATACGGAGGTATAGGGAGGTATAGGGGGGTATAGGGGTGCTATAGGGGGGACTGGGGGCTGCTATGGGGGTGCTGGTGGTGTTTCTTTTCTTTTTTCTTTTTTTCTTTTTTGCGGGGTGCCAACTGGCCAATTAGTCGGCCGGTTGGCAGCCGACCAGTCAAGTCCCGCCGACCGTCGGGGGGTGCAACCCTGCACACCAGCCCCTTCTTTTCTGGGGGGCATCAGTCCGGTTGCTTATCACCAGCAAGCATGAGTTCATGAAAGAAGCAAAGATGAAGAGAAGTAAAGAGGGTTCAGCCAGGCCCCTGCAGTACGAGTAACCTACTCAAGGGGGAGCTGTTACGAGCCGACCCCGCCCCCCCTCCCCCCCCCAACCCCAAAAACCATAGCCTCCACTTGGGAGCTTCAGCTGGCCAGGAAGCTTAATGGCAGCACCCAGTCGTGCAGGAGAAGGGCCCTGGCCACAAATCCCCAAACTTGCTCATAGCCACTCAGTCAAAACGAGCTACAGAATCAATGAACTGTTGCTGCTACTAATCTCCTCCTCCCTACATACACCATTCTGCTTATATGGGAGTCTACCCGTGCCTACCCTTGCCTCTACACCACCTCTGTAGTCCTACTTCCCGTTCCCAGTCTTCCTCCAATCTGTCTCCAGTCTGTCTCCTACTTGTCATTCCCAGTCTTCCTCCAGTCTGTCCCCAGTCTATCTCCGTGTTCCCACCTTGCATTCACTTTCTTCGGGCAGTTTGCCCTCCACAATCCCACCCTGCCCTGCTCTCCTACCTCTATGGTCTACTCTATTCCATCCCCAAATCTGGTGTCTCTAGGGCCCGGGTCCTTTTTTAAGGCCAGTCGCTCCGCTAAGCCAGTCACTCAGCTAAGTCATCATCAGGAGGGCTAAGGACCATTGACCCAAAGTTACCAAACATAATTTTAGACTGATGCGGCAGTAATGCCCATGGTCTTTTTTTTTTTTTAATAAAGGCCAGTCCCTCCGTTAGGAGAGGTGGTAAAAGCGAGCACCCCCCCTAGCAGGCTTTCTGGTTGCTCCAGTCTATAGGTTGGGAGCTGCACCTGATGGCCCCGGTCTATATGGCTTGGGACATCATTCCTTCTCTCACCCCAATAGATCCTCCTACCAATATGGCTGGCCTGTTTTGGGTTACAAACAAGAGTTGGGGTCCTGAGAGAGGAAGCTAACAATGAATGGGAGGTGCTCTCCCAGAAGAAAATATTTGTCCCCGACCCATACTCACAAGACTCCCATCATACCACCTCTCTCGATATATCTCCTGATGCATCCCCACTACTTTTGTATTTTACGTCATGTCAGGAACATCACTCTCTACTGGAGCAACCTGACCAGACAGCGGACGCAGGCACTGACGCTAAATGAGCTCCCCCATTCAGCCCCAGTTGAGGCACTAGCGCCGTTATACTGGTAACTCGGGAGCAAGGCGTGAAGTTCTCAACTAGTCCCGTGAGCAGTGAGGGTACCCAAAGGCAGTGTCTAATGGTCGACTAACCAAGGTCTAACCCATGAGCCCCCCTACCTCTAAGCACCAACCCAGCACAGCGCGGTTCATATATGGCTACTGTTGGTTGTTGAATATGCTGGTTGTTATGAGAGCTAGTGTGATATCATAGTCTGTATGGATGTACGTGGTTGCTTTCTGGCACTATGTCTGTTCGCTAGGGAGAATCGACCAGTGGTAATTGTGGAGACCTCGACCCTCATCAACCACACCCGACCAACCACTGATAACCCAACCCCCCAGAATGGGTCTACAGCCATCAAGAGTAGGACACACCTCTGGATTCGCCATTGGTTTCCCTACAAGGCACCAATGCCCACCACAGGACTGCCAAGGTATCACCATGCACCCAAACAACCGCTTACCACTCTCCGGCCCGAAAGAGAGTAGCATCCATCCCACATCAGCTCTCCCTCAGGAAAGGCACACGTCCCCACCCAAATCCGTCCAGAGGATCATCCCTAGCTGATATGACGAACAGTATATATAGACGTGATGAATGAGCATAGTCTGGAGTTGAACCCAGGACCTCCAAGTTACAATATCAGAGCTCTATCTTCTGAGCTATTGAGGTCATTAGTCTGTAAAGGCGCAATGTCAGGCTCGGGACAAGTACGTGGCGTGCAGCCTACACCAACCAATTGTGCTCGGGGGGAATTGTGGGCCGACAAAGTCGAACCCACAACCTCCCCATTGCAACACGGAGCTCTGCCCGATGAACGCTTGGAGACTCCGTGTGAACGGCCCACTTCTCCTTCACCCGGTGAGCGCCTTGTCACATCGCCCCCTCTCGCTGACTTCCTCCACAGTCCCCTCTACCCAGGGATAACCGCCTTCCTCCTCCAGGTATGGCCGCCAGCAGCCCGGCTATGGATCTTGCACCTCCCTGCTCTGCTGTGCCCCACGGCTTCCTCGCGCCCCACCAGCCCCCCTTTCCTTTCTGGTCTGGCGGTCATCCACACGAGTGGGCGCTGCCAGGATGCTCAAGTGAGGCAGCCTCCCTCTTTTTTGTGCTGGCTGTGAGGTATTTGGCCTGGTTGGACTGGATGCGCTCTGTCAGCACCCTGGGCCCCTTACGGAATGTGCCTGGAGCCCAACTACCGGAGACCTGCACCACTGCACCTCAGCATCTTCAACCACTCAAGTGTTGGGCCCTACCGGTTGGTTGAAGATGCTGCATGCAGCAACTTCCCACGGGGCCCCATTTTCACCTCACACAGGCCTCCACCAAGGCCGATTTTTGAAGGCCCGAGTTCACTTAGGGCGGGCGGGGGCTTGCTGAAGCATTGCCGAGAGGGGCCCGATCCTCGCACCTGGTACATTGCCTAGTCAACTGTAAGAAGGCTACAGAATCGAAAAGTCTTTGAGTCGTGGTCCACTATGCCAGAATTGGGCCGGACTCCATTTGACTTAAGACACGTCTCACAGAACTCTCAGCCCTAGACTGAACGGCACGACCGTGCAGAAAAGGGAACCACACTAAATCTCCTCGTGTTGTGACCCCAAAGTCGACTTACCCTGTCGTGCCCCTGGGGCCTCTGAGCTTTCCTGCATCCCGCAATGCCCTTACTGGACCGCCAGTCCCATTTCACTGGTCCCTTCACGATACGCCGTCACGAGTGGCATGCATCTTTCCACCGGAAATTCGGATTTGAAGCACGTGGTTTTCGTGGTGCTGCCGCAAAAAATGGCGCTCTGTGTGTGTGTGTGTGTGTGTGTGTGTGTGTGTGTGTGTGTGTGTGTGTGTGTGTGTGTGTGTGTGTGTGTGTGTGTGTGTTGTCATATTCGCTATACA